CCAGGGCTCGAACCCGGACCACTCGATCCGGAGACGAGCGCACTAACCATGAGGCCACCGCGCCTCCCTATACTAGAGTAAACTCCCCGAATCTCCTTATCTATCGACACTGTTAAGGTTGATTTGCGTAGATTTAAACTTGCCGATTTGATTTTTTTATATTTTTGAGTGGCAATTCCTGGTTTTCTTAGTCTAGATAAAATCTTCAACCAGCTAGTCAGTTTTGTGAAAAAAAAAAAACCCTATTCTACACCCAAACGCTCTGATTTATATACCCTATCCTAGAGTAAACTGCTTGAAAGCCATACCCTCCACAGCGGCACATACCTATATAGCCCATATATGGCAGTGCCTCCCTCCCTCGGCGTTTGACTGTGCCGCTAAATGCAATGGCATTTCCCTGAATGAAATGATCTACGCTGGACCAAAACTAGAGCAAGATCTTTTTAATGTCTTTGTCCGTTTCCGTCGAAAGCCTGTTGGAATCGCTTGCGACATAAAGGAAACATATCTCCAGATAGAGATTGAGGAGCAGGACCGTTCCCATTTCCGACTGTTATGGAGAGACCTGGACCCCAGCTGAGAGCCAGACGTATTCGAGTTCAGCCGTGTAGTGTTTGTGACATTTGTTGACGCCTCGCCGCAAGTTTATGGTGCAGCTGTTTATATCCGGTGCAAATATAATAACGATGCAGTCACTGGTCGCCTTATAGCAGCCAAGAGCAAAGTAGCATCGTTGCTCCGATGATAGTCCCTAGACTGGAACCCATGGGCGCGATTCTTGGCCTGCCCTTAACACTGTCCTTGGTGACAGTCCTGGAAGTACCAATGCAGAGCGTGACGAACCGCACCGAACCGTCACAGTGGCAGCATGTCTCTACCAAGGAGAGTCCAGCCGATTTGTGCACAAGAGGTGCAGCCCCTTCAGGGCTAGCCGGGTGTTCCTTGTGATGGAATGGCCCATACTGGTAAACAAAGGATTCCAGTGAGTGGTCAAAGATGCTAGTCCCGAACAGACCTAGCGAAATGCCAGAGACCCTTGTGACGTATAGCCTTCAGAAAGAAGCTGCACCGAAACATAACAACACTTGTGAAGTGTGGAGACTTGATCCGAAGAGGTTCTCTAGCTGGACACGTTTGGTTCGAGTACGCGCAAGAGTGAGAAGAGTGCTGCACAACCTGCGCAGTAGAGTCCACAGAAAGCCAGGCATCGAATTGTGCCCGAAGAAATAAAGGACGCTGAAGAGGAGATAGCGAGCTTTGCACAGCGCGAAGTATTCCGTGACGAGTACGTAGCTTTGAGCTTGGGTAAGCCGATACCACAGAAAAGCCCGTTGATCAAGCTTAACCCATGCATAGACGAAGACGGCGTCATCCGGTATGACAGGCGTTTGAAGTTCGCAGAGTTCCATCCNGATACCACAGAAAAGCCCGTTGATCAAGCTTAACCCATGCATAGACGAAGACGGCGTCATCCGGTATGACAGGCGTTTGAAGTTCGCAGAGTTCCATCCCTACGACACCAGATGTCCAATCATTCTGCCTCGCGGACACTGGGTGACAAAACTGATTGTGAAGGATTACCATGAGATAGCAAATCATGCCGCTAGAGTAAACTTCATTCTTTGCCAGTTGAGTGAGAGATTTTGGATCGTCGCCGCACGAGAGGAGTTCCGTGAGTGGGACCATGAATGTAATGAATGCAAGAAAAGAAGGAACAAACCAGCTTTTCAGATTATGGCGCCACTCCCGAAGACAAGGCTACGTTTTACTTTCCGGCCCTTCGGCCAAACAGCTGTGGATTTTGCAGGTCCTCTGTATACCGTTCAAGGACGCAGAAAACCTCGACAGAAAAGGTGGCTGTGCCTGTTTACTTGCTTGGAAACACGAGCAGTGCATTTAGAGATGGCAGGCCGGGGGACTAGAGTACCGACACGTTCTTAAACGCCTTCACTCGTTTTACCAGTCGTGGTGGAGTTCCTAAGAAGGTGATAAGTGACAGAGGCACGAATTTCGTAGGTGCAGTGGGCGAGTTAAAGAAACTAGTCAGCCAGTTAGACAGAAACTTGAGAGCAAGACAGCCAAGCTTGGAGTAACATGGAGATTCAACCCACCAGCTGCTCCACATTTTGGAGGAGCCCACGTTGTACGAGACCGAGATGTGACTGATGAGGAGCTGATCACAGTGTTTGCCGGGGTGGAGTCTCTTCTTTATTCCCGTCCGTTGACTTATTAGAGCTCGGATCCACGAGACAGTATTCCATTGACCCCTAACCATTTCTTGCATGGCCAAATGGGAGGACAGTTCGCGCCTGAGTCTGTTGAAATCGCTACTTTTCATCGGCGTCAACGATGGCGAAAGGTTCAGGACATTATTTCACAAGTGTGGAGAAGATGGCTAAAAGAATGTGTTCTTGCCCTTAACAGCCGACCAAAGTGGACATCAGAAAACCGAGATCTAAAAGTTGATGATGTAGTTCTCGTGATTCAGCCCGATTCTCCAAGAGGACGTTGGCCATTAGGGCGAGTTATTGAAGTGTATCCTGGACGAGACGGTCACACCCGTGTAGCTAAAGTTGTATGTGGCGTCAAGACTGTCGTGAGACCAATTACGAAACTGATTCCGTTTGGAATTAATTGACAATCAGTTATTTAGAGACACACTAGGACTACCTCCCAGTGTGGGGAGGGGGAAAATGTTAAGAAGATAGTTCCGAAGTGGCGTGACGTGCGAATAGCGCGCGCGCACGGAAACATGTTGAATTTAAGTTACGCGTACGTGTATTGCGCGTACGAATTTAAGTTGCGTGGACGTTTATCGGCAGAGTTTTAGACAGTTTCGCGTGAGCATTTGTTGTGCTTTTTAGAGAGTTTTGTGCCGTTTAGAGTTAACTGTTTTACCGATTTTGAAGTGTTTTGGTCGAGTACCGTTCCGTTTACCGCTCACGAACAGAAGCCATACGATTAGCGCTAATCGTATGTCCCCCCCCCCCCAAAAAAAATAAATTAAAAAACAACACGCAAGAACATATACGTTAACGCGTTTCAGTTTGTAACGTCCGTTTACAACATGGTTTACAACATGGTTTACAACATGTTTCAGTAATCATTCACTTCCATGGGAAGTTAATTAAAGTAAGCCAAGCTAATGTGCTATATATGTTCAATGTTAGTTGTAATCATTCCCTGAAGAAATCTCAGACAGAGACGAAACGGGTCGGAAAAATAAACGAAAAGTTACAACAAAAACAACAACAACAACAGTTTCGCCTTTTGCTCCATCTCGACCGTCGCGGCCTGGTAACCCGTTATGTCCATTTTGACCATTATCGCAAGAACTGCATCCTCTGCATGTGGACTAATTGAAAAAAAACATTGTGGTCTAGGTCTTCTGAAGTTTAGGTTAATTTATATTGATAAAAGCTATATAAAGCAATTTGGGAAATAATCGATGAAGTAAATTTAATGTTCGCAGCATTTTAAAAAAGTAAAACAAACTAAAATGAAACATAGAATGTTGTGAGGTTTAGTTCTTGGTTGTTATATCACCAAAATGATCTGCATTGTCATGTAAATCATACATGTATGTCAACATAAATATTTAAAGCTTCCCTTTTCACATGATCCTAAATTCTTGCTCAGGAATTCATACTTTCCTCTTGGTACAGATGAGTAAGACGTAAATGCAAACCAGTTCGTTGATCAGGGTGTAACTGTATTATTTTCTTTTAGTTTTAATCACCTGCGTAACACAGCAATGCTCTTTACCACTGCGCTCAGATAAAGATTTCGTAGTTCCTTTCTATGCGTTATTTTTTCTCATAATCCCAACTACGATCATTCAAGCAAGTACACCAAATACATTTGCCACACTGGCAGCGCAAAGAAATAAGCTGAGTTAAAAGAAAGTTTCCTTAGGGCGCTTTCTTAATTGATTTACATGCGCAAGTAAATATTGTTAAGCATTCATTTAGTTGCGATCCCTTCCCAATTAAACCTACAGTAACATTGATTAAGTATCTTTAAAACGATGTGAGTATTTGAATTATAATATACTTTTAAATGTTACTGTTTAGAACCGAACTGACCATGAGAATTCTGTTGTTATATTTTGAGTGCATGGTTTGATTTATCGCATGATCCAGCCCGTTGTTATTTGGTAGTTGAGAGTGGCTGACAGCGAAAATGTTTGAAATAATTTAGCAGTTTAGGCTCCGCTTAGAATTGATTGAAAAATCCACACGTTGTCAGGAATAAGAAAACTTTCTTTCATATTCCGGAGAACTTCAAAATGATGTTAACTGCCTTGCGCTAACAAGCAACGATCACTACTTACCTCAGTAAAATCTTACCCTGGTAGAAGTGGAAACATTCTTATCATCATTCGAACCACCCTGAGAAGGCAGCAACAGGCAAAATAGAACGAAAATAACAGAAATTACCGCTTTCATTTCCAGGAAAATTAAGAGATCGCGTATGAGAATAAAAAAACCCAACACTGAAACACAGCTGTTGGGGTAACTCTGACTTTCAGGCGCACAGAACAAAGTTTTTGGATTAATATTCGACGAGATTTTTCTTGCTGGTGAAAACAAAGGCGACACCTTGTCAATCTGCCACGTCTCGACAGCTTCTTCTTTGTTTAATACTGAGTCATTCGGAAGTCTTTTTATATTTAGGTGAGTTGATCCTGAATCTGCCCTGGAAATGGAGGAATATGTTCTTCGGCTGAACATGAACTCATATTAAGCTAGTAATCGCCTATCTAAACGAGTTGTCAAATTTTAATTTAACTCCTTGACTCATTCGGCTGGAGGCAACAAAGATGTTTTGACGCTACTAAACCAAAGTGCCTGAAGCAATGTAAATTATGTTAAACCAGCCAGGGAAGAAGGATATTTGTCTGATTGATATTTTGAAGCGTGGTGAAATTTGTTATTTGGTTTGGGTGAGGTATAGTTACTAGCTGGTACAATCGACAACTTCAAACTAAACTCAATGTCTTGAAATAGGATAACTTTGTGAAGGAGAAACACGAAGTTAAAGGACTGAGAAGTTAATAACTTGATATAATGATATTCGTACGGATTGAGCAGTTACCGTGATGTCAGCAAACACAATTCAAAATTCAAAGCAAGAACTCCAAACGCAATACACACCAATATATTCTAGCTTATTCTGGAAAAAAGGAAACCAATTTATTCATTAAAACAAAAGGTATTCGGCTTAATTGTACATGTGATATATAACATTGAAAAACCAAAGCCATCGATTAATGACGCCACAACTTTAACACGGTTAGTTTTAACCAATAATGTATCGCCACTTAATTGTTATTCCGGAACTAAAACAGCACCGACAAATCACATGTCACTTATCTTTCCAACTTACGGTACAATAAAACCCGCGTGTAAGAACCTATAGTTTTTGAAGTCTGGCAAAATAGGTTTTCGTGTTTTGGCCGTAGTTATTGGCAATTTATAGCTAAGTTGGTGCTTAATTAGGTTCTTAATTTCTATGAAGGAGATGTAGTTGTTAATTCCCAGACGGTTGGATAAACTTGGGTTTGAATATCTAATATATGACAGGTCTAACACAATTGATTACAGAATGTATGTGTAGTGTTGTCACTCTAACAGGCGTTCATAGTTTAACTGTAACCCACATATGAACATACTTCATCTTGCTTGGGTAAACGGGTTCACACATTTCTGGGTATTAAAATGGCAAATTTCTGCCAACAGGTTCTTAAACCACTAAGTTCTTACACGCGGTTTTTACTGTAATTAAAATCTCTTCCTAGGAACAAGGTCGCTTCTACATGAACGTCTAAAGAGAAAGGGAAGACCCGAGGAAACTTCTCCGCGTTGGTCGAGCTATTATTGTTTCTTCTCTGAACACCTGCTTCGTGCCCTAGTTCCTTTAACCCCTAGGCAACTGGAAAATGTTTTTATCTTGGAATAAACTGACAAAGGTTGAAGAATAATTGTCTCTACAAATAAAAACATCGAGAAAAAGTCAATTCTAATTCTGACAGAACTGTCTGAACTTTGTATGTTAAAGGAAACTATAAAGTCGATTAGTTTAATAAGGCTTGGTTCTCATTCATGTCGGTTCTTTCCTGTTTTATCGCTATAATTGACGATATATCGAACACATTGAAGTCGAATTTCAACACAGTTGAGAGAATAATTCGCAGTCCTTAGTCTCATAGATGCTCAGCTATAACTCATTCTTTTAGCTTGCATGTCGGAATTTAACCGAAGGGTATAACTCGACAAAAGGGTGGATCTAATTAGCAAACAGAATTTTTGACAAGGATATTATTCATCAGATATTATCAAAATTTTCGTCCTAGGCCAAAGGCCGCGCTCCTTTTGGTCAGCACCAAAAATCGCGACCTCTGGGTTGCTCCAATCCTGGAAGTCCGCGATTCACGGACTCTCCGTCAAATCTGACAAATCTGATTGGCTGAGAATACGAAACGAAAACTCTGCGCATGCTCAGAAAATTGGGTCCCGCCAGAGGTCGGGATTCTTGGTGCTGACCAAAAGGAGCGTGGCCTCTGGGGACGAGAATGTACACTAAACTAAAATTCTTTCTATAAAACGGTGAGAGCGCGTAAACGTTTTTCACTATATTTTGGGCCTGAATGACCGGTAAAAATGCAAAATTCATTGTGAATAATCATTCTGAATGTTTTGGAGAACAAGTATGAGGGATTTAGTTGTGCTTTGATTTTACGAAGTCACGTCAAAACTGAGTTGCGTGTCTCTTTGCAGTGCACTTTTTTTCCTGTAAATTTCGTCTTGGGCCTTGAATCTTGCTTACAGACATATAAACATAATACGCTAAATCAGTTCAAAAGTCAACAGATGGGTGACTTTATAGTTCTAACAGAAATAATTATTTTAGGACCAAGATTAAATGTTGCTCCGATTTTCACTCATGCTCTTGAATGTTGTGGAGCTAGCACTACAATAACAATGAAATAGTTGCCACACTTTTACATAAGGCAGCGTTAACATGACGAGGGTAAGCGGTGAGCGCAAGCAGAAAATCGTCATGCTAAACATAACTCTGAAGGGAAGGCAGATTTTTGCATACTTCCAGAAAAACTTCGGAAAGTAATCACACGTCTTATGAATTCGTAAAGAACAGAAATGTACAATAGCGTGGTGATTCGAGACAAAAGAACTAAATTATAATGAAGACAACAAACAACACAAGTGAAAACAACATTTTTAAGCAGCATTTTTTTTTTGTTGTATTCTGATTCCTTGAAACTTCACCCGCAATTTTCTCAAAACGCTCCCGTAATTTGTTTAATATTTTGCCATTGTTGAGACAACTATGTTGGGTCGTAGATCACGACGTCGTATACCGTAAATCTTCGAATTAGCGTCCGGGGCGCTTATTTCAAATTTAGGAGAAGACGGGGGGCGCTTATTCGAGGGGGGGGGGCGT